GCCCCGTCGCACAGGAATGCCCAACTGTATGATCAATCAAGGCACTGGGTGCCAAACTGCCAACAGCCTAAACCCATGAGCAGTCAGAGAATCATGTTGTCCTGAGGCCCTGACTCACCAGTGAGGACTGCTCCAAGGGCGAGGAACACACACAGGAAGATGTTCCCAGGCCTGGTTCCATAGTTGTCGATAATCTGGCCCTGGGAGATGGTGAAGATGATCCCAAATACCTGCAAAGGCACAGAGAAGACTGGAAACAAGGGGCCAGCCAACCAGCCCACGGGAGAGCTGAGCTGCCATAATGTAGTGTCTGCACCGGACAAGCCCAGCAGGGAACAAAGAGCCACGGCTCTGAGGCCACCACGAAATGAGAGGCCTACCTGGGCAGACATGTTGAGGAGGCCAGACGACATGCCTTCTGATTCTGGGTATGTCAGCTCCACAGCAAACTCAAATCCCAGCGGGAGGTAGCCAGTCATAAAGAAGCTGAAGCCCAGATCACAGAAACAAGGTGATGGAGAACTTCCGGAACAGGGAGAAAAGGGAGCCTACCTCCTGCCCTACAACTCCTTTTCCTAGTCTCTTTCTTCCCATCAAGACATACCAGACCCTTGAAAATCAGGCCATCCCCTACGCAGCCATTACACACACACACACACACACACACACACACACACACACACGTACTGCCCACAGGAAAATAAGTGGGAGGTGAAGCTGAGTAGAGACCCCTGTGGAAGAGGTACCCTTTCCTACACTTTCTCATACATCAAGTCTAGAAAATTCCAGCTCTGATCTCTTACACCTGCACCACACTTCCTGCTGCTTTCACATCCGCTATCTCTCTCATTCTTTCCAACAACTCCACAAGGCAGGCCACTCATCTTAAATTACAGATGAAGAAACTGAGTCTCAGAGTGATTAAGGGAGATGCCTGTGGTCTGATAGATAGTCAACAGCAAAACTGAGATCAGGACCCACACTTTCTGATTCCCAGCCCTGTGTACTTTCTCTGAGCCCATGTTGTCCCAAGCAGAGCTAATAAAGACTCCATATATTTCCTAGCCTCCCAGAGATCTGTGAAGGACACAGTCCATCCCAACAGCATGGATGGGCCTGAAAGTCCCAGGTGGGCTTTCAAAGTGTTACAAGTAAACATGACCTCTGGCCATTTCCACATTTCAGGAGGTCAGTGAGAAGGCATCAGAGGGATACCTATTGCTTCCTAGGATGTTGGCAGCTCAGGAACCATGGGTGGAGCTTTCCAGTTAAGCAGGTTAGAGGTGAAACTTACCCCATTGCACCAGCCGTGACGAACACTACCCACAGGTGTCCCAGGTTCAAGGTCAATGTGTAAACCACCATGCCCACCAGAGTCATGATATAGACCACCAAAGTTGTCTCCCTACAAGCAGAGGCAACAAAGTTGAGTCATATACTGCGGACTTTTTATTTTTTTTATTTTTCCTGCGGTACGCAGGCCTCTCACTGTTGTGGCCTCTCCCATTGTGGAGCACAGGCTCCGGACGCGCAGGCTCAGCGGCCATGGCTCACGGGCCCAGCCACTCCGCGGCATGTGGGATCTTCCCGGACCGGGGCACGAACCCGTGTCCCCTGCATCGGCAGGTGGACTCTCAACCACTGTGCCACCAGGGAAGCCCTACTGCGGACTTTAACAGGATCTTTCCCTCCCTCTCTCCCTCTCTTCCTTCCATTCCTTCCTTCCTCTTTCTCTCCCTCCGTCCCACCTTCTATCTATTGGGCACGTGCTGCGTGCCAAGCCCACTGCTGTGAGCCATTTGCTCTCATAGAATTCTCTGTCCATGAGGTTGATGGACATCGGACCAATGATCACACTGTGGTCAGAGCTACAAAGGGTAAGACCAGGACAGTATGAAGTCATCTGGCAGCACGTGTGTTCTCCTGCAAAACCCTCTCAACAAGATCGCACTGCACCTGGACTTGTCACGTCCTACCCACAAGCAACAAGGCATAGCCCTTGCCTCTCCTCCTCCCCCACTGAAAAAACAAATGGGACACACAACAACTGTGGTCAAGCGGCAGTGGCATGCAGACGACCCCAGAAGCCCGTTCTGCTTGTCTGCTTTGCCCCCAGACCCCAGGACAATGCTGGGCAGAGCCCTGGCTGTGAGAGTCTCTGTCATCCTTGAGTTCTTCCTCTTGCCACCTGCACACATCCAGCACCGTTTTTCCTGCTAAATCTGAACTACTCTGCTCCTGACCGTGGCAACTAAGAGAGAACATTCTCCAGCCCTGAACGAAGTCCTTGACTCCAAAGCCGAGGCGAGAAAGCTCCGCCCACGCCCAGTTGCATTTCCCCTTGTTGGTCCCTCAGAAGGACCCTCAGCAACGTGCTGGTTTCTGTTTCTGGCTCACCCTACTTGTGCCCCTCCCCACACCTCTCCCCCCATGTTGCCCACTCAGGACTCTGCTGCGGTCCTGACTCCTGCACTGGGACCTGCATCCCTCTCTGTCCTACTGACTGAGGGCAGGGACTCTGCACATCCTTCTGTGCTCTGGCCACGAACGTGGGAACTCAGACTATAAAACCTCAAAGCCTTCACTCATCTCTGCTGAAGCCAGAAACACAGAGGGGTTGCCAGCAGGTGTGTACTGTGGTTATGTGAAACTAACACTGCATTTACTGGATGCCAGGGATTCTGCTAAGTGCTTTACATGCATTTATTATTTCATTCAACCCTTATAAAAGCCATGCAAGAAAAGTATGACTAATTTAAGAAAACTGCAATCATATCAAGCATCTTTTCTAATCACAAAACTATGAGATCAGAAATCAACTACAAAAACTGCCAAAAACACAAACACGCGGAGGCTAAACAGTTATCTACTAAACAACCATCAGGTCACCGAAGAAATCAAAGAAGAAATTTTAAAAACACCTGGAGACAAATTAACGAAAAACACAACAATATAAAATAGATGGGACACGCTTCCTGGCACCGAGGGAGCGGCGGCGAGGCGGCGTTAGCCGTTCCGGCGCCGTTCTCGGGCAGGCGCGCGCACGCCACGATGGCCCCAGCTAAGCGGGGATGAACCCGCCGCCCGCCTGCCCACAGCCCCCAGCCCCCAGCCCCTCCGGCCCAGCCATGGCGGAGCAGTACGATGTGCTGTTCCGGCTGCTGCTGATCGGGGACTCTGGAGTAGGCAAGACCTGCCTGCTGCGCGGCTTCACCAACAAAGAATTCCACTCCTCGCACATCTCCACCGTCGGTGGCGACTTTAAGATGAAGACCGTAGAGGTAGATGGCATCAAAGTGCGGATACAGATTTCGGACACAGCACGGCAAGAGAGATAGCAGACCATCACAAAGCAGTACCATCGACGGGCCCAGGGAATATTTTTAGTCTGCGACATTAGCAGTGAGCGTTCTTACCAGCACATCATGAAGTGGGTCAGTGATGTGGATGAGAATGCACCAGAAGGTGTCCAGAAGACCCTTATAGGGAATAAGGCTGATGAAGAGCAGAAACGGCAGGTGGGAAGACAGCAAGGGCAGCGGCTGGCTGAAGAGTACGGCATGGACTTCCATGAGGCAAGTGCCTGCACCAGCCTCAACATTAAAGAGTCCTTCACGCGCCTGACGGAGCCTGGTGCTGCAGGCCCACAGGAAGGAGCTGGAAGGTCTGCGGACAGCCGCCAACGATGAGTTGGCCTTGGCGGAGCTGGCGGAGGATGAGGGCAAACCCGAGGGCTAGGAGAACTCTTCGAAAACCTGCTGGTGCTGAGCATCTTGCGTGGAGCGCCCCCGCCCCGCACAGTCCCCTCTCCCGCAGGAGGGCTGCGGGCACACAGGGGCCTGGGCTTTGCCCTGCTTCTCTTCTCCTTCGGGTGACCCTGTGGAATCTCAGCCGCTGCTCCTCCCCCTGCCTGGCTCCTCTGTCCTGTCCGAGCAGCCTCACCCCCCTCCGCCCTCCCCCCGGGATGGCCCCCTCCAGCCTGTTTCCCCAGCCACAGGCCTGCCTCGAGCCCCTGATGTACTATGACCACCGCCTCACTACCCTGAGGTCCCAGGCGATGGCCCAGTGCGGAGTCAAGGTCCCTGGAGGTTCCTTCTCTCAGTGCATCTGGTCTCCTCTCCGCTTCTCCTCGCTTCTTCCCACGTCTCTTTCTGTCCCTTCCCCTCTGCTGTGCTCCTATCAAAGCCCTCCCCCCGCCCCCCACGTGTCCCGTGTGGCTGCTGGTACAGCACCTTTCAATTCCTCCCTCTTTGCGGGGCTGAGGGAGTGGACTCAGGCCCAGGGGCACGTTCCCTGCTCTGCTCCGGGAGAAGCCCCACCCCGCTTTGTGGGAAATTCTTCCAGTCCTCGCCTCCCCACCACCCCGTCTTGTGCCATGGGCCTGCCTCCCCGGTGACCGGGGAAAGATGGGAGGAAGGAAAGCCCAATCTGCTGGTCCCCATGCCTGGGGCTGTCCTACCCACCCACCCACCGTCCCCAGCTTCCGCTGGGGGAACTGAGCTTCAGAGAAGAAAAAAAATGATGAGGGGTGGCAGGGATAAGAAGTAACCTCCATTCTCTACCTGTCCTGCAGCACATACACTATTACTCCCTGCCCCCGGGCTCCCAAATGTAAAGATGTGGACCAAGGCCTGAGGGCACTGCAGGGGCAAGGAGAGCCCTGGGGCCAACCACACACTCCAGGAAGGGGAGTGTTTGGAAACGAAGGGCCAGCTCCTATATATCAGGTTAAGAGCAGGGACAGCAGTTTGCAAACCAGAGGGGAATTCAGCAGCAGCAGGGATTCCTGGGCCCCATCTTCCATTTCTTTTTCTTTTTTTTTTTTTTAACATCTTTATTGGAGTATAATCGCTTTACAATGGTGTGTTAGTTTCTGCTTTATAACAAAGTGAATCAGCTGTACATATACATATATCCCCATATCTCTTCCCTCTTGTGTCTCCCTCCCTCCCACCCCTCTAGGTTGTCTCAAAGCACTGAGCTGATCTCCCTGTGCTATGTGGCTGCTTCCCACTAGCTATCGGTTATACATTTGGTAGTGTATATATGTCCATGCCACTCTCTCACTTTGTCCCAGCTTACCCTTCCCCTTCCCCGTGTCCTCAAGTCCATCCTCTAGTAGGTCTGCGTCTTTATTCCCATCCTGCCCCCTAGGTTCTTCATGACCATCTGTTTGTTTTTTTTTTTAGATTCCATATATATGTGTTAGCATACGGTATTTGTTTTTTTTCTTTCTGACTTACTTCACTCTGTATGACAGACTCTAGGTCCATCCACCTCACTACAAACAACTCAATTTCGTTTCTTTTTATGGCTGAGTAATATTCCATCGTATATATGTGCCACATCTTCTTTATCCATTCATCCGATGATGGACACTTAGGTTGCTTCCATGTCCTGGCTATTGTAAATAGAGCTGCAATGAACATAGAGATATACCATGTTCTTGGATTGGAAGAATCCACATTGTGAAAATGACTCTACTACCCAAAGCAATCTACAGATTCAACGCAATCCCTACCAAACTACCACTGGCATTTTTCACAGAACTAGAACAAAAAATTTCACAATTTGTACGGAAACACAAAAGACCCCGAATAGCCAAAGCAATCTTCCATTTCTTATGTAAGGTGGGCATCTCCCCACCACCCCGGCAGGTGAGAGGTGACAGAACCGCGCTGGTGGTCTTTCACCGAGCCCAGCCTTCCGCTCTCAAGGCTTTCCCGAGACCCAAAGTTTGTGGGAGAAGGGAAGGGGGCTCACGGGCAGAAAGCAGGCAAGCCCTGGGTAGGAACGCTTGGTGCTATTCCCTTCAGCCTTCAAGACCAAGTGCTCATCTTGTTCCTCTAGCTCCTGACTCAGAGGCTTGAGGGTTTGCCAACTGCACTGTGGCTACAGGTGGAGGTAAGTGGACTCCCTCCTCCAGGGCCCGTTGTTTCAGGAAGAAGCTTCTTTAACCCCATATGGTCCAAGAGTAGTTTGCAGGAGGCCCTTTAAGGAAGGAACAAGTCAGTTACCAGCCCTAGTAGGGGTCCTCCCCACCTTCCCAAGATGGGAGAAGCCTAGGGAGGAGGATCAGTCTTAAGCTGCGTTGCATGGCTGGCACTGGAGTGAAAACAAAACTGGGCATTGAACATCCACTAATTAAAGACTAAAATCCAGGACACACACATGTGAAGAATTAAGAGCCCCACTTCCTTACTCCTCTGAAAGAAAGCGTGGGGGATGAAATCACCAAACCTTTTCTTCTGACTCTTATCAAATCAGGAGAGAGCAGGAGAGGGTAGCTCAGGATGAAGGAATGGGGGATGAGTTATCATAGTGGAAGGAAAAGGAAGGCAGGAATAGTTATAAATCATCGGCTAATGAGAAATGTAAAGAGCTGACTCTTTAGGACTAAATCAC